ATTTCAGCACCCTACCTTGTCCTCTGTGAAGGAGGCCACCCAAACTGTCTCACTGGTTCTAGGTACACAAAACCCAAATCTGAGAAATCCACTAAATTGGCAGGTAGGATGGAATAATTTATTATTACTATTATTTTAGAGACAAGGTCTTGCTCTGTTGCTCAGGCTGGAGTGCAGTGGTACAATCACAGATTACTGCAGCCAAAAACTCTTGGCCTCAAGCGATCCTCCTGCCTGGGCCTCTGAAGTACTGGCATTACAGGTATGAGCCACTGTGCCCAACCTGGAGTGATTTAACAACTGTTTTCAAATCAACATTTTGAAATAGTACTATATTTTAGCTTTCGGAATTCTAAACTTTGCTAGATCAGACAAGCTCAGTTTTCTTGAAGGCTGTAATCACAAGTAACAGCTAAAATAGGAAACACGAGTACATTTAGACAAACTTTGGGACTGTCAACTTACGTTTGTATCCTCCAGCAATGCCAGACTGTGTCAGACATCTCTGCAATTCATCAGCATCTATCTGCCCATCCTTTTGAAAAACAAATTAGAGGGATCATAATAGTGACTTGTACTTTCAAGTTATTTGTTTACCTTCAGCATTCAATGAAGCAATAACAACCAAGAAAATCAGTATCATCATGCATGACCTTTTATTAAAAGGAATGCCTTCCAAAAGTGGGCATTCTTTTCCTTAACCCACTGCCAAAATTAATGATGAAAGAAAGAGTCTGTCTTGGCAACTACTTTTCTGTCAATCTGAGCTAGGAAACTGCTACAGCTAAACATTTTAAAATAATTTATGTAAGTTGCTTAATCATAATTCCTTGTTTTCTTTTCTTTTCTTTTCTTTTTTTTTTTTGTTTGAGGCGGGTGGACAGAGCAAGCTACACACCAGACATAAGTAAAGAGAAGGCTTGGTTCAAACAGAAAGAGGCCTCTTGGTCACTTTTTCTTATGACATAGTGAATGTTTTTTTTCAGAGCACAAATACATCTGGAAGATACACATTAGGTTCCCAGTGCCTGTTCACTGGCTGAACTGGGAAAGAACTAGATATATGTGATTTTTAGGGACTTTAAAATAAAATACCTAAATCCTCAAGTCACTGGGTATTATAGGTTATAAATGAGGAGCAAGAGCAACAATTTGAAACACAATGGGTATGCTGAATACAGGCCAGGGCTGCTGAAAGCTAAGCAGGTGGGGTCACTTACATGCTGGAGGCACTGGCAATCTAAGAATGCTGGTCTTGAGGTTTGCCATGTCTTGTGGTTTCAAAGATACGGATCATTAACAGATTAAGTAGACACTTAAGGAGAAGGTCTTCCAGTTTTAGACTATTTTTCCATTCAATTTCTTAAGCTGTATTTCTTAGAGTACTACCTTAAAAAGTGGTCTTCGGTTTTTTTATCCCATAATATTCTACAGTTTTCACATTAAAATTTTGCTATTTCTAGCTTTTGGTCAAAACAAGACTAGGTTGAATTCATAAGAACAAACATCCCCTCTGGACATGTCTGGGTTATACCGACAGTATATTTACTGTACACAGTGACCTCATGAGCTAGGGAAGTGTCCTCTCACAATGTAAGATAGCACCTGTCAATGTAAGACAGCTCCTGTCATATGACGCAGAATGCAGACAAGTGAAAGGTCTTGGGGAGCTGACCTTCTGCTTCTCTGGGTTAACAGGCCACAGCACCTAATAAGGACACGGAGGGGGAGGGGCTAACCTAGTAACAGCATCTGCGTCAAAGAGAAACTACATTCTTCACAAGATTAACTTCCTGATACTAATAAGGGGACAGTAACTTGCTTATTTAGAACCTGGTGGGTTTTTACCATATTTCCTAAATGGGTGAATGATTAGCAATCAAGTTCAACCCAAAGGAAGTGCCCATGAGAATCGGGCTATGTAATTACTAATAAACGTCTTTAAGTTGTACAAACAAGGGTTTATATTTACCAGATCTAGAATTTCTTCGCTGGAAACCACCCTGGAACATTTAATTCAACCACAAGTTTGGTTTCGAACTGAACTCACATAAATACGAGTAACACTTTGTCCTAATTTATTCTGAACATTCAAAAATAAACAACTAAAATAAGAAACAAAGAACTTTCTTTTTTTCTTTTTTTTTCTTTTGCAGAAGCAAAGGGACTCAGTACCAGAGGAAGTTCGCTTTTCAGTGTCACTATATCAAAAGCTACCACAAATGCGGACAATAACGGCTCTTTAATATTAAAGGTAAAAGCTAACCTGTCCAGCTACAGCAGCAAAGTAACCATACAGCGGATCCTGAGTTTGTCCGGGAAACGCAGGTCCTCCGGGAGCCCCTCCGTACTGTGAAACAGGAAACACAAACCCGTCATTCAAGTTTTCTTCTTTCACCACTGAGGGCTTTCGTGCAAGGCCAGACAACTGCCCGCCTGCCTGCCCTTCACAAGGCTCACCTCCCCACCCCCAGGCACACTCAGCCAACACTCCACCCCTCTCTTCCATTCACACCCCCGTAATTTAAAAACTGGCGACTTGGACCATAAAGAGTTGCTGTGGAAGTGATGTCTGCATATGTAAAGCAACTTTTAAAATCCCTATTAACTTGAAGGTTACTGAGGTGAGTGCAAACTAGGCAAGCCAATGAAAGGGCTTGGAATTCTCCTTTTGTTGTTACAGCATTTATGGTATTTTAAAAGCGTTTTATGAACGATGGAAGGCTGGAGTTGGTAACATTCTGAGACGGGTGTAGCCTAGGGAAGAGTAAGGTGTCTGACCGGGCTGTATCTCGTGGGTGGCGAGGGAACACTGCCTGTCTCGGAAACAGTTCCCAAGACAACGCGCATCCCAGACGCCCGGCAAGGCTGCCTTCCTACAGGTCTTTTACTTCAGTAGGTTTTCCTTTTTTTTCTGTCCCCCTTCTCACTTTTTTTTTTTTTTTTTTTTTTTTTTTTGAGGGAGGAAGGTATATCGCAGTATCATTCTAGAATAAAATGACTCTTGTTGCTTTGGGAGGCAACGGAGAGGGCGGGGGTGGGGTGAAGTGGGGGTTAGTCGACACCCAATTAACACGATTTCACGCCGCGTATCCGAGAAGCCGCAGGGCGGGCTTCTGGGGTCCCAATCCACCTTCACCTTGGGCCCGCAGAGCCATCCAGGAGAAGGGACGGGGGAAACCAGAGGAGAGGCCGAACCGCAGGGGCCTAGGGCGAGGCCGCGAGCGCAGGCAGAAGCCGAGGGCGGAAGGAGCCCGGGCAGCTGCCCAGCAGCGCCTCACCCCGCTGGCCGCAGCATCTCCAAGGTGGCCTCTTAGCGCCCCGGAGCCGCCTGGGCAGCGATCCCGCGCAATCAGCACTTACCCCGCCTGGGTAGTACCCGCCGCCGGCGCCAGGATGCCCTGGGTACGCCATGGTGCAGACTGCGCCGCCGCCTCCCTGGCTCTGTGCACCAAGCCTCCCAGCCGCCTGCCCCGCCCCGCCGTGCCGCGAGGGGGCCGCCCCAGAGCGCACCACACTGGCGTGGGGGACGCGCTCCGCAGCTGTCTTCAGTTCCTGCCTGTGCACGCGGCCGTGGTTCCACTGCCTGCGCGCTTCTTCCTATCTTTGCCATTACGGTGCTAACGCAGTGCACGACCGAAGGGCCAGTGGTGGCCTACGACCTGCGAGGCAATTCACACCAGGGACTTCCCTCCCTCCGAAACTAATGGCACATTCCAACATCGATACACCGCCCCAGGAATTCTTTTTTTTTTTTTCCGTCGGACTTGGCTATTATCTGGCACATTTCTTATTTTAAACAACTTTATTGGACAGGACGGAGCTACTATAAGCAGAGCGCACCATCGCGAGGCAGGGGCTGAATTCCTTCGGGCAAGTCTTAGGTGCTAGTGGGTGAAGGGGTCGTTGAACGATGGAAATACGAAAGCTCCCTTGGAAAACAAGAATTAACTTGACGAACGGTGTGCAAGGGAGAGTCTGGCTTGCGGTTGATTGCAAAGTTCATTCAACGACAACGGTGTATTTCCTTCCTAGGGGACAATTCCTTGCCTGTTTAAGCTGGGCGTGGCTCGTGTCCTGAGTAGGACAGGGGGCATTTTCCGGGCAGGACAGCCTCACCCAGATCGTTCTTAGCAAAATGAATTGTTTGAAGTATCTGGATGATTCAGACAAAACAATCCATTTCCCTAAAATTATTCAGCTACTTTTTATGTAAGAAAAGTTTAGAACAAAGTAAGAGTGTGTTTTTTCAGTATTCAGGAAGATAAGAGATAGGAACTTCAATGTAGGTTATTCTTCTTTACTTCACATACTTTTCTATCTCCCAGTTGAATAGTCCGAAGCAATTCAGGCGTGAGCTTTTTGTTTTGTTTTGTTTTGTTTTGTGTAATTTCAATGACACAGAAAAATGTTTACTTGCCCTTCACTGTTAAGGACTAGACTTAATGACTTCCTGAATTTTAACAGAGTGAGAAACGCATTAATAAGCAAGATTCACAGTATTTGTTGTGGAGGTTGCACAGAAACATTTAAAGGGTCATCAACATTTCACAAATATTGGAACACCCGCCAGTGTGCTTTTTCGCTGTGGTGGACGGGCTTCCTCCATTCTAAATTCGTGGGCTATTGTCCTCATTCGGTTCATTGTTTTTCTCTTCTGTGTAACTTCCCTCGCAAGCCCTATTGAAAACCAAAGTCCGAATCGTGAGAAAAATTCTAATAGTCCCTGTTGTGGCATAGCAAAGACACTGCATGTTGCCTGTTTTGTGTTTGATTCAGGAAGCGGGTTACTGTTTTCAATCATCAAGGTAGCAATCATCAAGGTAGATAAGACATCTAATAATGTCTGGTCTCTACCCTGGTCTCTCTTTGGAAGCCTGTTTCTTCAGAAAGAGGCAACCAACTATAAGGAAGAGATGTCAGGGCTGAACTCATTGTTGAGTATAAGCTCAAGACTCAAGTTTGAAAGAAGCATAAAGCATATAAAATATTTTTAAGTACTGCAGAATTAGCTTCGTGGATAAACGGCTATACGAATTGTCATATCAGTTGTGCTTAGACATCTTCCTACTGCTTTATTGCTAAGGAATTGCATTTTAATGGAGTGTTGCAAATTCGATTCTTACAATTATTGCTAACAAATTGGTCAGCTGCTAATACTTTAGTTTGCAGGAAAATATTGTGGCAACTTATAATAACATCAGACATATATATAATAATAAAAATATGCCAGATCCTCATCGCATTTTACTTATTTGCTCAATCTTAATAAAAACCCATGAGATAGGTACTATTATCTTTCTCATTATACCGTTGAGGAAGGGGAAGGAACAAAACAGAGCTGAGGTGTGCTGCCAAGCCATCTGACTCCAGAGTCTGTGCTCTACACCCAGGGGCAAGTAAAGGGCCAGGTAGTAAATATTTTAGGCCTATGGGCCATACAGTCTCTGTATGAGAGAGTCTACATACATAGTGGTATGTAGACTATGTAGTCATAGTGGTATGGCCACATACCACTCAGCTCTGCTGTGTCGGCCACAAGTATCCGTAGACAATAGATAAATGAATGGCTGTTGATGGGTTCCAATGCAACTTTATTTATAGACACTGAAATTTGAATTTCATATGACATGAAATATTATTCTTCATTTTATTTTTTCCAACCATTTAAAAATGTAAATATTATTCTGAGCTCCTTGGTGTACAGAAATAGGAGGTGGGTCAGATTTGGCCTTTGGGCAGTAGTTTATCAACCACTGCTGGAAGCCCCTTCAGAATGTGGGCTTATGACTCTCGGAGGTTAGTACTTTAGCAAATGATTTGCTGACTATAAGATAAAGCCTATGGGTAAAATACAGTTATTTGTCTGAACGATTTACTAAGTTCTAAAAAAAAAAAAAAAGACTGTTGGAGGGTTATGACAGCAACATGGGTTAGGGAGAGAACTATGTGAGGTTTATAGATAGGATGTGGGTCATGGTTATTTTGGTGAGTCATTGGAATTACAGAAACCTTTCTGATCATATGCTCCAATCCTGCTGTTTTACAGAAGAAAAGACCAAGGCTGAGGGATGGCAAATATCTGGCCCCAGCCCTTGAAGGGCAGACCTAGCCAGATGTAAATATTTCACCCTTCCCAGTTAAAGCTGTGACAGTAGCTAAACATGCTCTCAGAGAGAATCCCATTCTTTTGTGGTACACCTTCCCCAATTATGTTTTCAAGACAAAAGGCAGTGTGGACACTTCCTTATTCCTGGAGAAAAGTTAATGTAAAGCTCTACATACAGTATCCAAGCTGGACTTCTTCACTCAGATAAGTGGTGAAAGAAATAGTATAACTAAGTAACTGTAGTTATTTCACCATATCCTGCAGTTGAATTAACCATAGGTCTTCACTTGTCAGGAATAAATGAGCAATGACATTTGCCAATTTAAAGTCTCAACTTTTATTTAGTTCTGATCTGTGTGTGGCACCTCGTTATTTAAAGACCTCTGCCTTAGAGAGAAACTCAGATCTCCAAATGTAAGTGGAAATGAGCGTTTGATAACAACATAGGTAACCAATTAATACTATCTCCATTTTCTTAAGATTGTTGGGAAAGAATGTGAAGCCTATGATGTTCATTTGGGAATAAAAGCCACCCTTTTTCTTGAACTGTCCAGAGTAAGAGCTCAGTTAATCATGCTATTATGTAATTTTTTCAAGGGATAGAAAACTTCCACTATTGATGTTTTAGTGCTTGCATGTAGAGTTTAACTGGTCCCTGGCACATTGTAGGTAGTAATGAATCATCAACCACAGCTCTTCAAACAACTTCTGTCACAATAGAAATGTTTGATATTTGTGCCACAGAATAACTAATCACATATGGCTATTGAGCCCGTGAAATGAGGAACTAAAATTTTAATGTAATTTAATTTAAAATGAAATAGTTGTGTGGCTAGTGCTACCCTCTTGAACAGTGCAGGGACCCTTTTATCTGTGTTGGCTTCCTCCTCCCTGGAACTCAGAGAAAGCAAACTCATTTTCCTTGCCTGGAGTAGGCATGATAAACAAGATAAATCAGTTATTAACAAAACACAGCAAGGGCAGCCATCAGCTCTGTGACAAGTGTTCCCATATTCCTGTTCCTACAGAATAGATTCTTACTGACCTGTTCCTTCCCTTAATGAAGCTCTGAGCTAGAGTTGATGATCAGGATTAACCAGGAAGCTGAGGTTGGAGGAATTTATTATGGCTAAATAGATAGGCCTATATACATATATGTGTATGTATGTATATAGGTGTGCATATGTAAATATGTGTGTATTTTTACACACACACACTATATATATATATACTATGTATATATATATAAAGTGTATATATATATATATACTTTCTTGTCATTAGGGCTGTCAAAAATGACCTTCCAAAGATGAGTTCCCCATCACTAGAAGTGATCAGGAACAGGCTCTCAGTGATGTAAAAGGACAGGTTTGTACTTTGAGTAGGGGCTTGGATGAAATAATGCGCTATAGACGACAAAATATTTTCTGATGGCCTACTTAAACTTTACCCAGCCATGCCACATAAATTATTCCTACTTCACAAGATGAAGAAACTGAGACTCTGACTTGCTCTAGGTTACCAGACTAATAGCAATTCCAGTATTAATTGCTCGTCTTGTCACTTCAGATCTTTTCTCAACCTCACACTATTTTCTCAGGACTCTTCCTTTTAAGATTATGCAATTTATATTGGATCAAGAATTTGGAGACATTGTTTTTCTTTTCCTGAACAGAATGTTTCAGAAATCAGAATATTAAATTTAAAGCAATTGTCTAAAATAATGTACATCTAGGTAATACTATTACTATCAATGATAAGAGTTAATTTTAGTGCAGATAATTATTTTTTGATGAACAAGATGTAAATATGCATGGCTAAATGGGTGGCTAAAGTGGTAGCTAAAGGGAGGTCAAGAAATGAATGCAAGAACTGGCTGTAATTAGTTTTTTTCTGAGGCTTGTACTGATTATCAAGTCTTTACAACTTTTACTTGTGACCATTACCATGTCTGGGACTACATAGAAAGCAGAATATTGAATACTGGACCTGCATGCTCAGGTAGAAAATCACCTGTGTTCAGCACCAGAGTTCTGTTAGGATGACTCTTCCTAAGAACATTGGACTAGTATATCATGGGGGTGTTAATTCTAGAAGCTAATTTTTGCAACCTAGGTCTATTTTTTCATAAAGGTCACTTTATGTCTGGTTCTCAGGCAAGCCCTCGAAAATTCTTTAAAGCCTTCAGTGTTCTCCTAAGGAGAAGCAGTCCTGGAGCCAGGGTAGAGCAGGGTAGGGACCCGAGAGCATCTAGGGCGTGGTTATTGCCTGTCCCCATTCCCATCTCAGTCCCTTTATCCAGCCAATCCTGATGTAACCAAGTTTACACAGAACCAGAGATAAATAGAGAAGCCAGACTTGTAG